TAACCAGTACTCCAGGCAATCCTGAGGCACACCAAAATATGTGTTTGTTCCTGTCATTTGCCCAAGAGCTCAAAAAATTACAAAGAGTAAACCAAGGCTCAGAGAGGTTCTGTTGAACAGTACCTACAGGAGACAACCGTGAGCCCTTCTGATTCTAGAACCAACATGGCAGCCACTCTCTACAATTCTCTGAGCCTCAGTGTCCTTGTGTGCAAAGTGAGAGAGGTTAGACTACATTATCTTTAGGATTTCTTTTGTGTCTGACACTTGGTGATGACTTGAGATTAAACAGTTGTCTATAATCCAAGGCAGCTGGAGACCAAGGTACCATTTTGGATCAGAGACACTAGCACGAACTTTGGGCCAGATGGTTTTATGATGGTCTCTGAATCTCCCAGGCTAATTGAAGATGTATCCAAGAACAATAAGCCTTTGGCCCATTTATATCAAGATCCGGCTCCGTTCTACCTGGCGCGAGCAGCCCTTGGCACTGTACCCGCCAGTTCTTGCAAAAGTGACTACCACCAGCCACCCAGCTGCAGAAGAGAGGATGTGGGCACAAACCCTTCAGACTTGGGTGTGTCAACTGAGACCAGGCCAGAGCCATCAAAGCACAGTGCTTTCCTCCACCCTTTCCGACTGCCCTAAGACTGGCACATGGCTTACTAAGAGCGAAAGTAACACTTGCCAACCTGGGGGCAAACAGTCTTTTCTAAATTGAGTTTTCTATATTCAGTGAGGTGCCAGACAGAGAGATGTCACCAAAGATATAAATTTTTTAAAACCCCAAACCAGATACTGTAGCTGCTCAATATGCCATATATCTGGCCATGACCCTTATGGTCTGCCAGACCACATTACAACAAGCAACAAGTGCACATTTACTGTCAAGACTGGACTGCAAATCTTTGTCATGTTAATTTGTCATTCCCCAAATGTACAAATGCACCTTACTTAGGCCACAAAACCTTCTTTTGCCTAACGGTGTTTTAGAAATAAATTGGCAATAAAGGATACTGCACTGTTACGGGGCTGTTGTCAGTTGGTTTCATTTATCAATTTATCAAAACCATTTTGCAAGAAATAGTCTCCACTTTAGAGATGACACTTCATCCATAACAGGGAGGTTTGAGTCTTCCTTGACTGCCAGAACATTACATAATAGAATGTGTCACCAGTCCTGAAATGAGGCAGCAAAGGCTCTGTGTGTAGGTAACACCAAAGCCAGTATGTGCTTAGCTCAAAAAATGATTCAATGCCTTTAGAATGTGGGATGCAAAATGAGATTCTGCCAGAGTCAGGGGTCAATGGTGGTAAAGTGCAAGAGAGGAGTTTGACAGCTCCCAAGCTCTGGGCAATCTGTTCTCAGTTAACTAGTAGCAGAGAGGGAACATGGAGGGCTGGAACACTGATACCTCAAAGCACTTACTTAATCAGTTTCACTATTTGGGCTGATTTTATGTCTGTTTCCCATCCCTCCCTAATTCCTTCCTTGGGCTGCAGAATGGGCCTAATTAGCTGGTTGGTTATCCGTTATCAGCTTTCCCTGGGATAAACAGCAGTTAACGGGTGGTGGGTTCAGGAGCCCTGTCTGGGAAGTCCCAGTTAACTGCCAAGCCAAACAGCCATCCCCAACGAGTCAAGAGCCAACGAAAGCTGTTGGTGTTTTTCATTCAAAGGCAGCAAGGCACCATTTGGAAAACTCTCCTGTACAGAATGTGAGAACCCTAAGTTTTCAATCTAGCTCTGTCTGGTTCTGGACCGAATGACCCCAAGCTATCCAGGATCCTCTCTGGATCTCAGTCTTATGAAAAGTGAAGCTGATTAATTTGGTTTTCTGCAGAAAAGCGCTGGAGAGGAACCAAGACTAAAAATGGTCATGGGGCCCTCTGCAAATATCAAAGTAGTGATGAAGCAATGGTGAGCTCTGACCAGAAGCCATAGGTTTTGTGGCATAGCTGCTTTAATTGCTCCTGTTCGATATTAAACTGGTGCAGGAGTGTGGAAGAAATTTAAGTGCTTTGGTGGTCTTGTGAGACCGTGGAGTGTGGTTTTTGCAGATATGCAACACTGCCCTCTATTGGCACCTGGCATGCTAAGAAGCCATGGAAGCTGAACAGTCCACTCTCCTCTGCACTGTACTTTGCAGCGGAGGCCCAGAGAGTTTGTGTGCAAGGCTCTGTGACCGGACCACTTGGTGAGGGCTTTTGCCTCGCAGAGTGTTCTCTGTCTCCATTACAAAGCTACTGAATGGAAATCTTATTCCCTGGGATTTTAAACAGCCACATTTCCTGGTATTTGACATCCATGGGACATTTAGCAAATGGAGTGCCAGATGGAGCTCCTTGGCTCTATTTTCTGCAAGACACTTGAGAGTCGGAACCCTCCGGATGTTTGCATTTGATAGGCTTGCTCACTGGAGGGGTGGCCATGGCTCAGTGGACGTGGGGCATTCTGTGGGCAGCCGGGGTGGGGAGAGCTGGGGTGCACAGGACAGCAAGTGGCAGCTATGCCTGCAGTGCCACACAGAAGTGTTTCATGTTCCAGCATCCTTGGTAATTCACATCTCTGACCTTATCTGACTATCTGACAAACCACATCCAAGAATGCAGATGATAGAGACTAACACTGTAACATTGAGGGACTTGCCCACAGCAACACAGCATCGCCACATAAACACAGAAAAGCAATGACATCTTGAGTTTTCTCTAATATCTAAGCAGTCCTCTTGTCCCTTTCTGTGAAATGCACACGTATAAACCATTTTGGTTATTTGGTATCAATAATCACATTTATGTGCATCACAGAATTCAAGATTACTATATAGTCCCTTGAAATCGCTTTATTCCTCATCCCATTTATGAAGGGTAAATCTCAGTGGTAATACTTTGAGAGTCTCTGATATACTCAAAATCGTCCTGTTTTTGTACTGAAGGCAGCTGACACTGATCAAGTTGATGAAATAATGATTCTCTGAGTATGAATATTTGGATTTTTTTTTCTCTCCATCAAGTTGCCAGTGTCTTTGGTGTTCAGGCAGATAGATGTCATGTTGCTTAAGTGGCATAATGTAGCATGGATGTTGTTCTTTTTATATTGCCATATGCATAGATTATCGAAAATTCTAGAACTATAATTCATCTCTGAGGATTTTTTACTCATATTGTACAATAACCAGAAAATGTTTAGACCTCAAACTGCTGGCTAAATGAGCACAGCCCTGTCCCTGTAAAGTTTGCATGCTGTTATTTTTACAGATGTTCTATCCTCGGTTCCTACTTGAACTCAGGTCAGAGGAGTTAATGGGAAATGAAACTGCATTTCCTTTATTTTCCTCCTTCCTGCACGGTTGACTTGAATTATAAGCCCACAGATATGCTCTACCAGTCGACACTGAGTTGTTTACCACCTCAACCAGGAGATGCAACGATTAGCTGTTTTTTGCTGGTTTTAGAAAAAAAAATTTCTCATACATATATGGGGAGATGTGTGTATCTGGCACATCTTACCTTTGCCTTAGATTATACAGTGGCACCTACTTCCCTACTGAAACAGCAAACCAGTCTCAGGCTGCTGCTACACAAGAATTTGCAGTATCTGTCACACTTTAAAATAAAATAATTTTCCACACACCAAACAAACTAAACTGTCCTTCTCTTGTTCCAAAACAAAACCCTTAATCCCATAGGACTCACTCAACAAACACCAAAAAAGAATATTTTTTACTCTTTCAAGTAAAACTAATAACAGTGATAACAAAACAAAAACTTTCCATTTATATTTATTAAGCTTCCTTTGGTTCCCTACATTAAGTGTCTGAGAATAGTTTCAACAAATCTTAGCTTTAGCAGGAGTTTTAGAAAGTACTGATTCCAATCTTCCAATTAACATTTTCTTCATAAATATTTCCACTAACAAAGAGTCTTCTCTTTAAAAGATTGTCGGTTCCATTTCTGAAGAGTTCTAAAGGAAGATAATGAAAAGGAAAGGCCTTCCTTTCAATAGACTTTATGTCTTAGTAAGTGTTCATTTCAGATACATTTGCAAGTAAAAGGAGAACTGTAAGACTCAAAAATGGGTCATTTCTATGAAAACAGCACAACAGACAAAAGTTGAAAGATTTGATCTATCTTATCAGTTGTGAAAAGAGAAGTCTTATACAAGGAACCTTACCCAAAAGCCAGACTGGCCACTTTCCATGCTCAGTGATCATCTGGATACAGTTGTGGGATGTGGCATTTTGGTCTAACATAAGCACAGAATAATATGTAGCGTATACCCAAATTAAGTGAACCACTAGTGAATAGGTCCTTAAAGTCTACAAAAACCAACCACAGGACTGTAATGAAAGAAAGTGATAACAGACACGTTAGAACACACAGCCAGCCAATTTCTGAACGCAGTATTTTGGCTGGCTAGTCTCAGACATGGGAAGAATTATGTTGCTCAATTTACAACTTATTAAAGAGGGAAAGAAGTCGTCGATACAGATGGCTGGTTCTATATCAAAGAAGACTAGGAGAGGTGATATTACAGAGCTTCTATTGAGCAAACTGTCAAATAGTACTTAACTCACTTTTTTTCCATACCTAATCATTAGGTAAGAATGAATTTTCAAAAGGTAAAAAAAAACTGCAGTGTTCTTAGTAAGCTGTGGCTTTGCTCACGTCTTATCTGCAAAAGCCTGAACATGCTGATAGAATCAGCTTCATTCCTTAGGCGAGGCAGTAATTACTTTTTCACATGGTGCATGTTCTCTGCAAGCAGTTGCTCAAGACATACAGAATGGAATGCCTTTGTTGGAGGGGGTGAGTTTATTATAATGTCTTTATGCTTGTAGATGAAATCTACCCCTAAATATAACGTAAAAATTACTTTTGATTTACCAGGAAAAACACATGGAAACTTACATGTAGCCTATGAATACTTTTAACAGCAAGCCCCCAAATAGGCACCAGACGTGTAGACATATGAAAAGAAAAGAGTCATCCTTGCCTAAATGGACTTTGAATTTGGTTTTTATTACACCATAAATGAGTGTTCACTGTTGCTTTCGGTTGGTGTCATGGAAGAGCCAGAAGATTTGTCCTGTGGTCACTCATTTGCCCTTAAGCAGGTGTGCTTGACTTTGGATAACCTTGCAAAGGCCTAATTTGCCTGAACTATAGAAAGAAGAAAGCTGGATTAGACTACCTCCAAGATGAATTCAGTCCTTATATTCTATGGTTTTATCTTCTTGGAGGAATAACATCACCACCTAGTAGTAGAGAACAAAAGACATCAGGAAACCCTCAGAAGCCTTTCTGAGGGCTCCCGGATAATGTATTGCAGAAGAGAAATAGGAGGTTAGTCCCCCCACTCCCACGTGGGTGTGAATTAATCATCCTACCACCGGGTCATTTGTGACCTTAGAGAAGACTCTAAAATTCCTTTCACTTTTATCCATTTGTAAGTGGCAATAACCTGTCCAACTAACCCACTGCCCAACCAGACCTCATTTATAAAAATTAATTAGATAACATCTTAGGTTTTCTAGCCCCCACAGAAGCAAATGTTCTAAAAAATGTAACTAAATATTTATTTTTTTAAAACAATGACACATGTACCTAACAACCTGTCATATATGGTAAGCCTCCAAAAAGAATATTTTGAGTACACTTTGATGCAGGATTCAATCACCACTTTTCTTTACAACCATGAGCCTTCTCTTTTTTTTTTTTTTTTCCCTGAATTTACAAGCTGTTTATCAGAATAAGTCACCAGCTTAGGCCGTTTCCTTTTCTCTACAAAAGGATTTCACATGGTGAGCTGGAATTTCCTTTATTTAAGATGCTTGAAAAATCTGGAATGGTGTCACTGGTATATTTCTAGAGTTTAGGAGTGTCCAACCAAGAGCAAAACTGACATTTTACCTAAAGTGTACCTCCAGCATGGCAGTAATTTATATTTCATATATGAAAAGTTAATGCTGAGCAGTTGTTTTGCTCATGCAGAATAAAATTTCATAGACTATAAAGCATTGAGTTAGGAACACTGGATATATTTCAAAACTGGGTGAAATACCCAGTATGGCCCCAAAATAGCTATGTACATGATGACCGTTGGGCTTTCACTAGTAAGCAATGACTAGCATGAGCGGTTCCATGGAAAATAACATTGAACTTTGCAAGATTCTTCAACAACTGTGTTGTTTCCTTCCTTCAGTTTGATTTGACTCACCAATCCATGTAAGGGACCCATTTACGTGCAGAATTTTAATATTTCAGGGTAATAAACTATGTCTCTCATATTAATATTCCCAGTATAAGATATGAAGTTATGGGTGAGTTTTTTATTTGATACTAATTCTTCCATAACTGTTTTTCACCTTTAAAAATCCAGCCGTTATGTAGACCTGAAAATAGATGATTCAAGCCTCTTGTTTTTAAGACATTCGATGGGGGAATTTTTAGTTAATTTCCCAGGGGTACACAAAACAGAGAAATATTTCCCCATACTATTTTTAGGAGCCAGTCCAAAAATTTCCTTGTGACCCTGAGTTAACTGAGCTATTTCTGGCCCTGAAATATAAATCTGAAAATTGCAGTATGGGGCAGGGAAGGGCTGGGGGGACCCCACGGTGATCTTCCCATTAAAACTTTTATGCTCTGAATTTCAGATATGAAAAGGTAGACAGACAGTGACAAACTAAAAACCAGTTAGACTTAGAACCCAAAAGGAGAAGTTAAAGAAAGAAAATGGTTGTTTTCACTCTGGAAGAGAGAAGAGTGAGGAGTGATTGACTCTGAGTCTTCAAGTTTCTAAAGGACCTTGATGCACAGGCGATGGTGAGGAGATGGACTTCACCTCCCCCAGGACTTGTCAGCAGAAGGCTAGACGCAAATTGCAACACCAGGGGCTTGCGTTAGGCACTGAGAAGCGTTTCCTGACAGTCAGGGCTGTTAAACACTGGAATGAGGTACCAGGGGAGTTTGGGCAATCTCCATTCTTGGCAGGTTTAGAAATTAGATAGATTTTTATCTCCTGCAATCAAAGCTGTGGGGAGACAACTGGACAACCTCGAGAGACCCCTTTCAAGTGTGAGGCTCTACGCCACCTCCATGGTTGGAGGAAAGCAGATAATGTAAAAAACAAAGAAGGTTCTCTACTGACTTCGTTTAAACATTTCCTTTTTCTGTCAAAACGAGAATTTTTTTTTTCTTTTCTGAGAGGATGTGTATCCTGAGGAAATTATTATTTTCTATTTGATTTTGATAAAAAAAAAATAATGCCAACCACTTCTGGGTGTTTTTTTTTTTCTGCAGAACTCACTGGCAGGCTTGAGAAAGAGCTTTGGCAGTGCCTGCAACAGCTCAACGTGAGTCCTTCAAGAAGTTTTTCATTAAGGAGGCCTGGGAGGGCAGAGCCACTTGGTGATGCAGTTTGCAAAGACCCTTAGGATGTCAGTTCTTTAAAAAAAAAAAAAAAAACATGGAGAAATTTGAGTTTTGACGGGGCAACTACTTGAGGGGTTTTGTCACTGCTGCTAAGTCACAGCGTTCTGAGTATTAGGGAGGGCTACACTTGCATTCAATTGAGGTGCTTCTAAGAAAATTGCAACATGTTCCTTTTTTTTTTTTTTTTTTTGCACTCATTACTATAGAGGGATGCACATGTTTCTTATAAGCTTCCAGATAAGAACTGTGAAGGGTTGTATTGCATCGAAACATGTGGTTTTCACACACATTGCTGTGGAGATCACAGGATTTTTGCACTTGACAAGAACATCTTGGGAGGAGGACCAGGAAAGAAATTTGAACTCCTCTGCAGACTTCCCTTCCCATTAAGGTTAATCTTAGCCCAGATGTGATCTGCGGCACTCTTGCTGTTCCCATGCCTTCAGGCCAGTTGTGCTACCTTCTGTTATAAAAAAAATGGGAGACCTTGCCTGTAGACAGCGGCACAGCCATTCCAACCAGTAAGGCCAGGAATCCATCTTGTCTTTTTTAAACACAGAGTTAATAGTAACTTCCAGATCTGTTTCTACAGCCCTTTGGGAGGGAGGGAAGCTGAATAGAAGTGCCCTTTGGGAGTGATTATTATCTGTTCTTTCTTAGTCTTTATTTGGGATACAATATGTAGTTGCCCCCTGGCAGCTGGAGAATTATGTTGTGGCAGGAAGGACATCATTCTGCCTGTCTTGAAATGCCTCTCCCAGGGGATTGCAGGCCAAGGATGTGTTGATAAAACACATACATAGAGAAGAGAAAATATCTTCCTTCTTTCCTTTCTCTCTTTTCTTTCTTTATTTTCCTTCCTTCCTTTCATCTTTTAGTTACATATCTTTGGAAGGGAAGAAACTAAATAGAAACATTTCTATTTTATAGAAATAAAATAGAGAAGAAAATTGAACACCTAACTTGATATCAGCAGCTTCTGTCTATGTAGTGAGTTGGCTAAATTATGGCACTTTCTATATAAGTATTTCAGCCCCAAATAGGAATTGGCCCATCTGTAGATGGGGGCACCTTTCTGCAGTTGAACTGATTGAACTTTTTCAAAATTGTGCATATGTACGCACGTCTGAAAGTTCAATAAAATTGACTGTGTTGTCGCTAAGAATTGATTGATCAAATCCCCAAGGGAACTACTTATACTGCCTTCCTCGGTCTTCCTAACCCTCAAAAGTTTTAGACATCCTCTCACTTCTTGCTACTAATGAACTTCACCGTTTTATTGATTATGCTTAGTGGTAACCACAAACCATTTCAAGGTTCTATCCCTAAGTCCCTTACATTGCAGGTGGTTTTGAAGTTATTCTAATGATTCTCCATTCACGAAGATAGCACTCAGTTATCTGTGATTAAAGCACTCTGTGCTCTACCAGGCTCTACCAAGTTCTACCAGCTCAAAACAGGCTTTAGGAATCAATGCAATAAAATATATCCTTAGACACCTTTTGGACAAATGAGTTCCTCTGACATAAATTGTTCCCCTTTCCTCCTCTAAGATCCTGGACTGAGTAGAGGAAAGTGTCTAGGCATTGACTTCTGGTACATCTGTGTTTAAACTTCAACCTGCCATGTCTGAGCTGTGTGACTTTAAGCAAATAGCTTACCCTCTCTGAGCCTCAGATTCCTTACCTGTAAAATGAGGGTTTAAGTCTCTTCTTTATGAGGTTATTATGAAGATTAATTGAGATGGCAAACATGAAGCATGCGGTACACAGTAGATATCTGGTGCTACTGGTGTTGTCCTTTGGTCCACTGGCAAAGACATGTCCCAACCCCAAACTTGTATCAAGTCCCCTAGAAGAAAATTGTAAAAATAACTTATGAGAATACAAAGGGAAGGATAGATGCTGATGATAACAAAATAGACTGAACAAAAACCTAAGATGTTGGTTGCCTGTCTTTCCATCTTCCCTCTTGGCCTTTTTCTCTACCTCTTGGATAATTTCTGTGAGTTCCCAGATGCAGAAACTGGTCTACACTTCTGATTCGACTGGTCTGCTTTCTCCTTCTAGAATAATTAAGAATAGCAATGACCAGATGCTCTCCTAACCGGTTCCCACATTAGCGTCTGCCCCATTCTCTAAAAAAACAAAAAACGACCTTCTGAGCTGATCCAACTGGAAGGCCATTGTGAACTTCCTGGGTCAGAGTCCCCTGGGGACAGTTACATTAATAGCCATTCCCTCCTTCTTGGGAATTGTAAAAAAACCTCCCAGATCCATGACATGAACTTCCTGTTTCCAAAGACCATGGAATTTGGGCTTTACCCAGTAAAGCTCTATTGCACTCTACCTTACAACTCCATCAACTTATCATAAGCCATTGGTTAAATTGCTCTCTGAAACCAAGTCCTTCGCTTCAGGAAGAGCTCTGCTAAGAATATGTTGCCGTCTCCAAAGTAATTAGTATATTTATTGAGCACATGCTTCATAGCTGACATAGTTCTAATAGCATTTATTCAATCAATCCTAATATGCTATGAAACAAGTACTTTTGATACAGAGAAGGGAAACTGAGGACTCAGAAGTCACAGAGCTACTGAATGGTAGGATGGGGAACAAACCCAGGCTGTTAGGCTGTCTGAACACACTCTATTAACCTGCCCAGCAGCTGCCAGCACAGACTATTTCATTCAACTGCTTGTCGAGGTTCTCTGCATTGGTATTTTAGAGAAACTAAAATAAAACATGAAAAGTACTGTTTGGGTCATTTTTTCCTAAAAGATGAAGATGATGTTACTCCACTTCTAAACGACACCTACATTTAATTAGAACAGACACTACATTGATGAAAATTCTGTATTTCTCAGAAAGAAGGCTTTTTGTTTTCTGTTTGAAATGAATCACCACCATGTCTGTTTACAAAAGCCAAAATGGTCTTCCCCAAAGTGAACAGATCCTAAAGAAATTTAAAACCATAACTAGGAGGAAACTAGGATTATTTCCCTTTGCTGAAACAGCTATTCAGTTGTGGTGCACAGATTTCACCTCCATCTAGAACAGGTGGGCTCCAGTGTCTTCCTTTACTCGGAGAAAACTAGTATGGGGATTGTATGGAAAATGTTGATTGACAAAGCAATTTTCAAACCAAGTCCTAAACTCCTAAGCACTTAATTTTCCCGAATATTCTCTGGTTCTTGCTAACTGACTAGATGTGCTCTGAAAATCCTCTTTGTGAGCCAAACATGCTTTCTATGAAGGTGCCTGTGTAGGTACCTCAACCTTGAGTCAATAATCAATGCAACGAAAGCTTTAAGGACATTTCTGATGTGCTGAATGTTGCCTAGAAGGCATTTCTTGATTCTAATAAATAATAAATATTTATTTTAAACAAATAAATTCAACTCTTCAGAGTTGAATTTGAACTTAAACAGTGCTAACAATCAGTTTACCTTCAGTTGGTTAAAAATCCACCCCCAAATGTCCTGGTACCTTCAAGTACAACTATACTAGGACAATACCTAAGGTCTGTCCTATACTAGGACAACTATACTAGGACAATACCTAAGGTCTGCCCAATCTAAGAATGTACTGTCTTTTCCCTCTGGTTTTAAAGTAATGTGTGTTCATTGTAGAAAATGTGTAAAATAACAAATATCCCAGCCATGAATTGCACATTTTATATCTGACACATATGTTGGTGAATATAATTTCAGTATTTTTCATATATATCTTGGACCATATAATGCAAGTTGTTTAATAGCCATCTGCTATTGTCAAATAATAGCATATGGTAAATATTTTCCCATGTTATTAAATATTCTTCTACTTCATCATTTTAATGACTGACCTATGTCCTATCACATGGACATGCCATAATTTTAGTCCACAAACCTGCTATAAATGGATGTATTAGTTATCTATTGCTGTATAATAAATTACCCAAAACTTAGCAGCTTAAAACAGCAAGCATTTATTATCTTGCAGTTTCTGTGGGTCAGCTCAGCTGGGCCCTCTGGCTCAGGGGCTCTCACAAGGCTGCAGTCCTGGTGTTGGCTGGGGTTATAGTCATCTCAAGGGGAAGTATATGTTTTCAAGCTATTGGCAGGCTTCTTGTCCTCGCTGACTTTTAGCTGAAGACATCAAATCCTTGTTGTGTGGGCTGCCCCATAAGTCTATTCACAACATACTAGGTGGCTTCCCCCAGAGTGAGAATCCAAGAGAAAGAATGTGACAGAGGCTGCCCCAAATGGAAGGCACAGTCATTTTATACCCTAATCTTGGAAATGACATGCCTTGATTTTTGTCCTATTCTATCTGGTAGAAGTTAGTTACTAAAGCTAACTCCCATTCAAGTGGAGAGGATCCTACAGAGTCACAAATACCAGAGACAGTCATCCCAGGGACCGTCTTAGAGACTAACCACCACAGTGGGCATTTATATAACACACACTCACATACCCAGTTCAAATATTAACAACAGGGAAATATTTTTTAAGTATCTTAAAGGCAATGGCCAGCTGAAGTTTTCAAAACCCTATGTTTCAGACCTTGAATGAAAACAAAGCACAAAGCTGGTGCAGATTTTTCAAGTCAGCTTAGAACGTGAGCCAGAAAAATCACCCCTAAATTTACCATTTTGTGGACATTTTATCAGTGTGGTGGTAGATTTAAAGAAGCAAGTTCTGCACCACTGCACTTTCATCTTCCCCCTAGACAGAGCGTTCATCACTCCAGTCAACAGCTCAGGTCTTCATCGGGCTGTCCCAGCAGTGGGAGAACAGCCAAAGCAACCTGGCACGGACACTTCTCCAATCTTCTCACTGCGCAGTCCCTCGGGTCCACCCCCAGCACTAAACAAAGTGTCTTTGTGTTCCCTTCCTCTCCACCTATCTGAATCCTAGCCATCCTTGTAAACTCAGCCCAGATTAACACAAACCTCCTTCCTTCCTTCCTTCCTTCCTCTCCATCACAACCCCTAACATTGTTCCAGCAATCACTCAAGTCTATGTTATGCTCAGAGGACTCCAGAATTGAAAAGACTGGAAGAGGAGGACTCTGGACTGGGAATGGATTAACAGAAAGAGAAACAGTAACATCCACATCAGTAATTGTGGCTTATGTAGCAATGGTTGGGTGCCCAATACCATTTGGAAAAGGCTGATAAGGAATGAGCTGTGAAACGGCTTGAGAGGTTCTCATATTAAAAAAATGAAAAAACAAATAAACATACAAACAAAAAAACTCAGGAAGGGCTAAGGACTAAGTGAGGCTCAAAAATGAGGAAAGCAAAAATCCAAGAACAAAACAGTCACAGCCAAGATCAAGACCTAGACTGAAATGTTGATCAATAAGAGAGAGCTAACTCCCATCACCATGGAGAAGAACTGCTAGTTATAAAACAAAAGCACACATATTTGAATGTACCATAACTAATCAGCCGCATGTTTCTATTTCTTTAATCAGATAAATATTTGGCTCTTCTCAGCACACTTATTTTCTAAATTGATAAAGTAAAATATCCCTATTGAATCCAAAACATTCCATCTTGTAAAACTCATCTACCAGGAGTCCAGGTGTAGAGAAGTGAGTTGCATAACCAGCCCCAGAACATCCCCATGAAGCTGTGACTTTCATCCTTCCCCCATCGGTTCCTCTGCAATGTGGACCTGTCACTATTGAGGCCCAATTAGGGGGAAGTAGACAAGGCAGCCTCTCCCTCCCTCTATCACTTAGAAAAATAGCAACAACTCTGGCCTGATTAGGTGCAAATACCGTATGCAAATACTGTGAGAGCTCAGGTGGGTTGACTTCTCCCCAGCCCCTGGATGCATAAGACAGTCAGGATTAGTCTGAGGGCTGCAGAATTCCTCCTGCAGATGGCCCCCACCTCTGGAAGGTCTCGCTCCTGAAGACTGAATCAAAAACCCCGACGACTATGAGACAGAATTATCCATCCATCCAGCATGTATTTCTCGGCTGCTTCTTATTTTTATAGCCATTTGTTGGGTGCCGTGAGAAAAGCAAAGAGGAATGGACTGTTGTCCTTGTCCTCACCGTGCTTCCAATCTTGCTGGTTAAATAAAACACATTCACCTTGAAAACAAAGTGATGCAGGCTGCAATGTATGATTAAGCACCCAAGGAGTGGGTGATCAATCAATGGTGTGTCACGTTGTTAATCGGCACTCTGCTCTGCCAGCCACAGCTCAGCCCACGGTGACATGAGTCAGGATGTAGGTAGAGCAGGGCTAAAAATAACTTGAGACACTCACATGTGTATAATCAACTCAGAAAAGCAGCTAAGACTAAATGGGGGGGAGGTGAGGAAAGAGGATAATAGCCCTACTCCTAACCGCCTCCCACCTAAAGGGTGCACGTGCCTCGACTTCTCTTCCACACAGCCCTTGGTTGAATAGGATCTTATCTCTTTCCATGCCCCATCTCATTATAGGGAAGAGGCATATTTAAGTTCTTTTTTTTTTTTTCCAGCACATTTCAGTTCTGCTTCTTGGCTTGTTCTAACTCAAGCTCATTAAACACGATTTAAAATATTTTACCTTACCCCTTTATTCATTTAGTTCTTTAAAGTTTCCCTTCCCCACTTGTGTTTTATTATCACCTCTGCATTCTAATCATGTTCCCAGCTGCAAATATCATCACACAACCTTGCTTTAGAAATAGGTCTCTTTTTCTTTTATCCTCTAATTGGAATTTACCTTCAAAATCTTCCAAGACTTCTTCCTGCAGACTCCCAGTTTTTATTACCAGCCTTCCTGAGGATTCACACCCTCTCATGTTAAATCTTTCTCCCTTCAGGAAGCCAAACACTAGCTTTTTCTTTAAGTTTCTCTCCCTACTCGGTTACTCATGTCTTAGAAAGATCTGTTTTAGAACCTGAAATTTACCATAAAATGCACAGTTCTGATGAAAACCAGCTCATTTCTATAGGATGA